GACAAACCTTCGGAGAGGCTATGGATACACTAAAAATATAGTGGTCACTGCCTAAGGTTTCCTCAAGGTTAGTCCAGGTGGCGTCAGATGAGTTTAACGTAAATGTTAATCTGGAGAAGTGTCAGCAATTACTTTGTTTCCTAGCCACGTAGGTACTGAAGAGAGTGTGATGAGATGAAGCCCGTGATTCTCTATAGCTTTTTCTAACAAGTTTCCTTTCAAAGAGTTCCGTAAATATCCCCATCTTGTGTGAGGGGCACTGAAATCACCTAGGAAAACGAGGCGGTCCTGCTTGCGCAGAAGTAGGGCTGCCCAAGCAATCAGTGCTTCAAAGTCTGTTACGGTTTCTTTGATTGGGCTATACACATTAACAATAAACGGGCTTGCCTTGCTGCGCTTGAGCGCGTACATCTCAATATTTTGGTTAAAAGTTGAACATTCTGTGATACATTGTACATTTCATGAGATATCCTTAGCCACCAGTGCCGCCATTTTGGGGAATGTTTATTGGATAGGGTATATTAACCTCATCGCGTGACTGGCTTTGCACCTGTTTCCCGCGGACAAATAATATTTGGGATAACCAGTGTTGTTTGTATGAACTGGTGAAGAGCTGCCGCGCGCTTATGAAAGGTGTGGCAGTTCCAATGCCAGATCTCAAGATGATTTGCTTGTGTTCGTCTACTGCGTGGTAGGCTAGCCATGATGGATGGCAGCGGTTTCCACGACGTCTGCCTGTTTCGATTAACAGCTTACCAGCGAACCTGGGCTAGCATTCGTGCGTTTCCTCACGTTACTTATAGCTTTAGTGACACATTCATCGACGTAAGCTTTAAAGATTCTCGAATTAAGAATACATCTGCTGCTGAAAAGCTTGCTTGACTTCAAGTTGCTGCATAATTTGTTAGAAGGCACATTCAGGTGACCCTGAGAACATTTCATTTTGGCCCGAAACGTAGCGAGCCGCGTGGTGAGAGACCACGTGTGGGGTTTGTTTGTGGCGAACTTAGAGGCATGCTAACTCTTTCTTAGACCAGACTCTCGCGAAGAAGCTTGTTCTCGGCTCTAATTCGCTGGTATTCTGGATTGTTAGTGATAGGAGCAGAGGCAGACTCGACGTTTGCTCGCTTTACCTTCTTTGGATTAGGCGACGTGGGTCGGCCTGGAGCCTTGCATTTGGGGCTTCGGGAATACTGGGATATTGCGTGTAGTTATGGTTTAGAAGGACGTTTCTTCTGGAACCTCAACTGGGAACTGGACCGGGACATTGACCGCAATCTCGAGCGAGATTTTGACCGAGACTGTGACAAAAAAATCGACTGCGACTTTGTCTGGGATTTTGTCACGGACCCTGATATTGAGTGGACATTGTAAAAGGGCCTATCGGTGGCAGGTGGCAGAGTGGGCCAGTCCATGTCAAGGTTTGCGGCTTATGAGATGAACCATCGGAGATGGTTGTTCGTCTTTGTCGTAGCGTGCCCTAGTAGGGACTGAGGTGTTTCTTTGTTGGAAGTGTTGTAGTGAATGTGGTGTAGAGGTTTGAGCCTCTTCTTGCAATTGCAATCGCCCGTGAGGTGATCATCTCCACAAGTTGCACACTTGGGCGGGCATTCGTGACTGGGGACGGTGTCTTGCATGCCACAGATGCGTCACACTGGAGTGTCAGGTTGAAGGTATACGTCAGATCTATGGCCAACGTGGTAACATACTTTGCACACTTGTGTGGTATTTAGTAGGGGTAGCAGGAGAACTCACTGCCATGGTAATAGACGTAGCGTGGCACACGCCTACCGAAAAGGTGATTACCGCGGTCTTCATATCACCGAGCATTCATGAATGCAGGACTACCATGCCTTGTGTGCGCACCCGTAGATTTGCCTTGGGATCTTCGAATGGGATGTGTGGCTGAAGTCTATGTATCACGCTTCGGGTGGCTCCCTCGCCGGCGGCCGCAAAGGCGTTGACTGCATGCGGACGTCCATTTACCATCAAACTAGTGATGCGACTGTCTTTCTCAGCAACCTCTTGGTGCGGCGTAGAGACTATGAAGATGTTCGAGCCAGGCTTGATAAGAAGCGAAAATTGCTTACCTGTGAATAAGCATTCGCATGCAGCACAAGCAGCCTTCGCAGGAGGCGGCCATCGGCTGCTCGGGCCCTGTAGAGGCGGTAGAGGTGTTGCTGCTGCCTTCTCGTCGTTAGGCTTCACACTTGACCTGGTATAACCAGGGTCGTAATGATGAGAGTATGCATGTTCTCACCGGCAATAATGGTATCCAATGGTGTTGAAAAAGTTTGAGGTTCACGTCACAGCCATGAAAACTCCGCTGCACATGAAAAATTGGCCAAAAAACTGAAAGTTGTGGAGCTCCATGCGAGCGCGCTGGCAGTCTCTGGCGCCTAGTGCGGCGTCGCTTGAGAGGCGCCCAGACAGCGTACGGTCGGAAGTGAAGCGCGAGCGAACGGGAAAGTTGAGCGCAGGGAAGAATCTGAAGGAATGGCGAGAGAAGGAGCGGCAAAGCACTGCACCTACCTTCTCGTACATTCTCTTGCAACGCGTATTCCGGCTGGTATGGGCGAGGATAAGCCCGGGAACTCCCGGCTGTTCCTATGGAAAAGAGAATGACAGCGGAAAAATAACTGCCAGCGCGCAGACACCACCGCGGACAACGCCAGATGCGTTAGATAGCCCGACAAAGAAATGCATTCATTTTAAAAGATAAAACAGCATCCCAGAATACAGATACGGAATAATTTTCTCGGGCATGTTGATTCTCCGGAAAGAGTTTCCTCGCGTGCAGCATTATGTTGACAACAATGTTGCAGCAGGGTAACTTCAATGTCAAGCTCTGATGAATAAAGGGCCACTCACCAGGCCTTATAAGAGATGTATTTACACTGTGGAAATTGTGTGTCCGATGAGGAGCACTATGCCACAAAACTTTTCTCAGTTAGTTCATTACAAACCGAGAAACCTGTTCTTTTATGTATTGCGAAACGAAGATGAAAAGAGGCGTGCTCGAAACCATTGCTGCTCACCAGCGTAGCCTTGGCAAGCCAAATCTCCTTCCTACCTTCTCCCTGACCCCAACAATAGGTCGCGTGCACATGGCGCGCCCGAACAAGCCCAACCTCCGAGCACGAGAGCGGCGTTTTTTTTTTCTTCTGACCAGCATTATTTTATTGTCTACTGCCTGTTTCTGTGGTATGGTTTGGAAAGGGCGGCTTAGACATGGTAAAATAGATGAGCAAAATTATTGCACGAATGCGTAGGGGCGTTATTTTCGCTTCTACTGCTCTCGTCTGCTCAGTGCGCTGCCCGCAGGGACACAAATGCATGCAAAACGCCGCCACATTTGCCACTCATTTGTTTGCAATTAAAGAGGTTTAAAGTTTAAGCCTTCTTGGTTTCAAATAACGAGAAAAAAGACGAAAAAAAGACGTGGACATTCCGTTATTACGTCGCATTATTTACCGCAAGTTTTAATAATCCTTTCAAGCAACAAATCACATAAACTACACATGTCATGTTAAATATTTTTGCCATGTTACGTGCCACTGTTGGCTCCGTCAGAGCACAGTTGTCTTACGTAGAGCACCAAAGTCACTGCCGTGGCGTGTACGTATGTCCATTCATACATGCACGTCATTCCCTCATTCTCCGAGCACGCGCCTGCATTAGGAAGGGAGACGAGTGTTCTTCTTGTTATTTGACCCATTTCCATGGCGCGCAGCAGTGCAAATCTTGGCAGACGTGATCATGAACGCCCCATCTACGCATTGCGATTATCAGCTCAAAATTGCTAAACCTGGTGAGTGCTCTTTAAGCGACAACCAGCGAATTAGGTGAATACACAAAAGATGTTTTCTTTGGAGAAAGTTTGCAGCGTAATTGCACTAGAAGTTGTCAAATACGCTTTTCTGTAGACAGTCCTAGTTAAGATGCAACACAAGACTCGCAGAAGAGAAAGGTCTTGTTATTACTCTAAAGTAGCAAGAGTGCCTGTTGTAATTAATACCATCGTCATAGCTGGAAATTGCTACAGCATCGGTGCCTGAGTTGACGAAACTACCGATAAAATTAGAGATGCTGCACTGGCCAGTCGCGGCAGTGACCATCATCTCCAGGGGCTGACAACTTTGCCTCGGTGATTTTCCCGTGCCGCTGATCGATTTTACCCCGTGCCATTTTGTTCAGATAGAGAACCCTAAATTGACATTTCAGGGTCATCGACTGGCAGCCGGCCTTTAGTCGGCTTAGCCCAAAAAATCTTTCCTTTCCCATTGAGAGCCCGTCAGCACATCTCCGACAAAAAAAGTGACAAATTCATTAGTCTTCTTCGTTATCGCGATGCAGTCGTTATATCGCAAAAGTATTTCGCTACTGAGGTACAAACACATTTACCACGAAGGGGGCATTCCTAAAAATGCCAAGAAAGGGGCCATTCTTTACAAAATGCCCCCTTCATAGGCATTTTTGTAAACAATGTCCAAATAAAACGAATGAATGAATGAACGTATTTTGATACAGAAATAGGATACTTGAAAGAAAATCTGAGACACTATCAAGGTCGTCTTGCCTAGCGGTGCTGCTCCACCCTTCTCGAGCATTTTAGTGTTGGATTAAGTAAAGTAATTTATTTTCTTTGTTTTTGAAATAAAAGGAACTTTCGCCAGACTTTATTAAAAACAGCACATAATAAGTGTGACTGTTTTTAGCATTACTGGTACCAATAAAATATATTAGCTGGGTTAAATACGATAAAATAAAGTCTTGCATACCATCTGAACGCCTGCCACCACTTACGCAGTGGCGGAAAAGCCACACGCTGATGCTCAAAACCTGATGATTGTGTTTATACGTATTTCAAGCTACCAGGATACAATCAGCGTTGTGGAATGTCGTAGTGCACATAAATTCGTTGTTGTCACCATCTGGAAAATATCGTGGTCGACATTGTCTGCAAGCCCTGACATAAAGTTATCTGCCGCAGCTATCGTGTTCTGACTTGCTGTTTTGAACGAGCAACTGGAAGAAGAACGCTGTTCGGGATGATTTCTCTACTGCTTCTTTTTCTCCTGGCTTTTTCAGCGAGTGCTAGGCCCAGCCGCAAGGTAAGACCTATAGACAATGACTCGTTAATCTTGTACACCTATTAGGGCCACAAAACTTGAAAAATGGTGACATAATTCATAATATAAAGAAACATTGGGTGCAAAAACACGAATTCACAAGACGAGAGGACAAGACGGGCTTAATCTAGCACCCGCCTTGTGCTCTCTTCTTGTGAATGTGTGCTCTTGAGCTCAACATTCCCGTTAATAAAGACAATTTGCACTTAGTGGGCAGATCGTTGCAATTCTGACGCAGTTCAGACGCCATTTTATTGCAGCAGTTGTGTTTTCATTACAGCTGTGCGCCGTCTCAATAAAATATGCGCTATAGGAGGTACCTAAAGCAAGCTTCTACAGTTCAAAAAAAAGAAAAAAATAGCCATAAAGCTAGAAAAACTTGCCAACTTGATTTGAAGGCAGCGAAAGTGTCCAAGTGTAGCTATGCTGCAGCCAAACTGATTGCAAGGATATTGTGTGGCAAATGTAAAAAAAACAACAATGTTTCTAAATTGGTCGTTGCTGAGAATAAACTACACGTTGTTTACTTTAAGAATTCTTTCCAGTAGTATGACTAAATTTCTTTGGCAGTTGCTGACCCGACGCTCTTATGTACGCACTGCGTAAGTTATCTTAAAAGATCTTGTAGTACGAGCCTTGTGGTGAAAATCGAAATCATTCAGAACACTGTTTCTTAGACATAGGCGAAATTTGAGTGACGTTCACAGTTGTTCCTCGCGTGATAGCGAAGTCTGAACAATCCCCGAGTCGCAACTATTACCTAATACTTAGAGACAACTAATAGCTTGTCGTACTCCCGCTGTTTTAATGTCGAGGAGCACATAGTTTTCTGGACGAGAAGCACTTTTCATTGTCAACTTCACTTATGAGGTCGTATGTAAAATTTATCGCCGGAGTTCATGCCACGTATTCACAATGATTTCAATTTGTCGAAGCAGGTGAAAAAACACGCCCTGACCATCAAGTTTTGACATCGCAAACTCGAAGGCCAGCGGCTGTTGTGTCACAACATAGTTGTAGTTTGTTGCATGTTGAAGTAACAAGATACCATTTAAAACATATCCAAGGAGCTAAGACCTCCATTGGCCTAGCTATCTGCCACCACTGGTCTAAAAAAGCGAATTTTGTCCAATCTATCTAAACCTTGTGTTCTATAGCTCGTAAGAGTCATTTGCACATTTTCAAACGAAAATTCCACTTGCTAAATGATTGTCTGGCTTCTTCCGGGCAATCCTGAGGTGCCACGTAAATGACAATGTTTAACAAGACAACTTACCCTATTTTGGGTCACACGACAATCGTAAGAATGTATAGGCCTCGAGGGCGACCACTGAAAAGGTCGGAGCTGCTGTCGCTGTGACATAGTAAATGAAATCGCGTGGCTCGCTTTGCCATCATTAGTGCATGTCACTTGTTTTCAGGGCCGAAGCAGTTCAGTTTCAAGGTGGCAAGTTTGTTTACCTTTCGATTCAACAGTGCCTGGCGCATTCGAATGAATCTTGATGTGAATAAGCCCTTCAAAAACGTGGTGGCTGCTATATATTTGACTGATACTACAACAATTAGCGAAACAACTCAGCGTTCATCATCAGATGGGCAGCTCTTTCAGCGGCCATTCTCTTTTTGAGCGTCCATGTATCTGTAATAAATTTGCATAGCATTGCATTTAAAATGTCCGGTAAGTACGATGGTGTACTTCGCTGGTATTTTCACGGGGTCATGACACTGATGAATGCAGGGACGGCTTTCCCAAAATTAGACTGTTTATTTGGCCGAACTTTTGGCTTGTCAAACGAAAGTCAGGTGGCAGCGATACACAATGTGGGGCAAGCACTTTCGCGAAAGAGATAATTTGTACTGCCTCTTGGCTTAATCTTCGGTGATAAGATATGGGACATTCTGGAAATTCGTACATAGGAATTCGCAGCATATAGTCACGTCTAGTCGGCAGGCTTTTTATTGCTGTATGCAGCACAATGGCGGCCAGAATAATTTTGTCTTAATGATGTTCTTATGCGTTACATATTCTGACATCTCCTCACATGTTAGCAGCCCTGGTCTTCTGAGCTGCTGGTACACAAATTTGTTGATGCCAGAGGCAGGCAGCATCACTGAAATTATTATATGATAGTTGTAACTATTATTCGAGCAAAAGATGCGTGCAGATATTGCAACGTTCTCACATCACATCAGTCAATTACCCCGCGTTAAAAAGCACGTTTACTAAAACCGAGAATTAAAAAGGTGACAATGCATGCAGCTGAACTTCCGCCTAATGAATTATATATGTTACGAATAATTGCCCAGAAATATAGCTGGTAAAATACCTACACTAACCACGTTTCTTCTGAACAGCACGTATGTTGCAGCAAGAGAGCCCATGGATGCTCTCATAAATGGCCCTGCAAATTTATTTCCCAATGCCAAAGCATTGCGCACCTTCGACCAGTTGATACCGCTTTAAAAGCAAGTGCGAGGTGTTGCCGTGAATTGTGTGGGCTATCCACACAGAGCGAAAGGTTACTTCTCAGTCGCACACTTTCGAATTAAAAGTGCAAGATAGGGGCGTACAATTAAGTTTGCCTCAGTGAACATGTTACCGCACACAAGTGCCTAGTGTCAGGCCACTCTGCCAGAGTCTCTACAGTGTGTCGACGCAGGGACGTGAGGCCATAAAGCAAGTCAACAAAATTCTACGCGACATCATACAGCCTTCAATTTCACTGCGTTTGGCACTCTTTGGCCTGATTTGCCCTTGCACCACTAAATTCTACCATCAACATCATTAAAAATTTCATAGGTGTCACCTGTTGTTAGCCAAGAAGGACAGAACCCTACGCTTATGCGACGACTATAGCCGCTCAAGCAAAACCACGAAAAAAGACGTGTATCCTCTCCGCCAGATAGACGACACTCTGGGTCGACTTCAAGATGCGAGGTACTTTTCTACGATGGACCTTAAAAGCAGCTTTTTACAAAGTGAAAGAGACGAGACAGACCAAGAAAAGATTGCCTTCATAACACCGGACGGCTTTCCGAGTTCAATATCCTGCCCTCTGGTCTTTGCTTGGCACCCGCGATTTTTCCAGGAAGTCATAGATACAGTACTGGCTGGCTTGAAGTGCTAGACTTGCCTCATTTTCTTGGACGATACAATGGTGTTTTCCTCGAACTTCGTTGAAAACGTACACTGCCTTGAATGGGTAGTTCAAGCTACAAAGAGCTCCAGAGGCACCTTGAAACCAGGAAAGTGCCGCTTCGCATACAAAACTTTCTACGGCATCATTGTTTTTTTTATTTCTATACTGAATGTCTTTACAAAGCAGTGCGAAACACGGAAGCCATCTAAACGATGGCATCCACAGTAACAGAGGGCAGAGAAACGCCTGTAATTAGATTCTCGACCAGCTAGTCATCCAGGCTACTACGTCTCAACCGACCGTCTTCATGAACTTGCTTAATCGAACGCTTTTAATGAAGCTCGTAACTGAAATCGAGGCGGCTTTTTCAAACGAACGAATGAGCTTGCACGATCTTCTGGTGCTCACAGAATTGAAAGGCATCACCGGCGATCTTAAATCTATTGATTGAGAGATAGAGCTGTAGTAAGCAGGCTCTGATGGTGGGCGAGAGTTACCTCACACTGCCGATTACATAGACAAGTCTCTTACTAACTAGTTCAAACTAATATACTGAATTCTGCAGTTGCAGCCATCGACAAAACACGCAATGCCACACATATTTGTTACCTTAGTAGATGCCCTGACCTCTAGTCATAGCCTAAGACTTTTGCGGATAGAACTACTCACTTTTAATGAAATGCCTCGCAACTGGCCTTCTTTTTGGGGAACAGTTTCAAAACGTAGTACACGAAAACCCGACTTTGAAAGATGTACACAAATTTGCCTATTTGAGATAAGCGCTGACAAGCCCCGCTGCTGCGCCAATCACCGTACTACCGAGTTGGAGGTGTTATGTAGGCGCGCGGGCCATCGTCATCGCATGGTTCGCGAAGGAAGACATCATTTTAAAAGACCAGATTGAGAACCTCATCGACTCGCAACCTGCTCAATGAACCGCAGACTTACGCGCATTGCGTCGCTTGCAAAATGACATCGATGCTAATATTCGCGATGTCCAGGCGCTGAAGATAACAGTGGAGTCATTTTTGATAAATGTACAATCGATCATCCTCCGACGTTTACCGCAACAGCTGGTACTCCAGTACTACAGACGTGGCAAAAAGGTCAACGAACCTACTTCGCCTAGAGAAAATGACGGATAAGATCAGCAAACGTCTACCACACTGCAGAGTAGCCTATTATCTCCGCTTGAACTTACCCGCTGAGAAGTGGAAGTACAGGAACGCTTTGAGTCCTGAGGCATTGACATAGATTGAAACAAGTGAGATAAACCAACTGAGGAGTGCAGATCATACAGGAGACTATTGAAACTAATGACGTCAAAACAAGCAGCCTCGGCTTGAGAGTACCGCACAATAACCACCTGTTTCTTCTGTAACAACGACCAACATGCCACCGAACATTTCAAAGTCACTGTCATAGACGGAAACCCCAAGCTATAGCAAAACGAACTCTGCTTCAGATGTACAGTGTGATCTCATCTAGCGAAGAATTTCCACAGAAAGAACAGCTACCTCAAATACCATCGGCGACACGTGACGACCTTGTTCGAGTCGAGCATCGTGAGCTCCTAATCGGAGAGTGTGGCCACGTCCCTTCTGCTGCTATAACTCACAGGACAACGGATCATTTGTCTTCAAACCGCAACCACACGTGTGTCTTGCAGTCGGACAAGAGCCATCACGCACATTATTTTTGGCGGTGGATGTCAGAGTGCGTTCTTCACAAGCCGACTTGTGAAAAAAAATAAAATTCGAAACAACAGAGCCAGGAAAATTTTTCAGTGGAATCCTTCGGCAGCTATAACAACAAGCGAAGCTTTCGAAGAGACACTCCACC